AAGAAACGAATCAAATGAGTGGACAGCGATACCAGATCGGAGAATGAAAAGTTCTTCTGAGAGAGAACAGTGAAGGTCAATGGGAAAAAGCCATGGAAATGCAGGGAGAGTTGTCTTTTGGTTTCTACAGTCTATAAGTTCCCGTGATATCTTTTTGCTTTTAAAATTTGAAATTAGAAAGAAGGAAAATATATTAGCAATTTATTACCTTAACACCTTCTTCAAAAGGCGGAGCTCCTCCTGGTATGGCGAGTTGCTAAAATGCGCTGTCCTGTAACCCTCTTCGTTTTCCCCAATTCTCTGGTGCGCAAATCCGCTTCAAGCGCGAGCTAGTAATAAACAATTCAGCATGGGGGAGAGAGAGAGAGAGAGGAGAGACAAATTATTATTATTATTATTATTATTATTATTATTAAAATAATAATTATACTATAAATTTAATAAAATTAAATTTTATATTATATTTTATATATTTAATAATTATAATTTGATATTTTAATATTTTTAATGTTAAAATATTTTGAATTTTTCTTTTTTAATTATTATTATTTTCCCTCTCCAATTCCAGTTTACCTTGAAGTTTAAAGATTTCCTCTGTTTTATTCTTTTCGGGGTAGAGAATAAATATACGAAAAGCATGTTTTATTATTGGAGTTATATTAAAATCCTAAAAGAAAAATAATTAATAAGAAAATTTTAATATCAAGAGTTTAATTTTTATTTAATAATTAATATTGTATAGTTTGAATTATTTTAAATTATATGATATATTTTTAATAAAAAATTATTTTATAATTTAAATTATACTAAATTCTAAAGTAATAATTTTTAAATTAAAATAACCCCTAATATTAAGTTTTCTTCTTTGAAAACAACAAATCATTTTCAAAACGGGTTTAGGGTTCATAATTTGGGGACTGGAACAATTAGTGGGACAGAGTTTAACCCTGCTACCTGCGATTGGCAAAGTCAGGCCTCCTGTGTTCATATTAATTCTTGACAAATTTATGCGAGTCCAGCATACCGTGTACGCTCGATTCTCGTTTAGATGAAGCGCTGGGTAGGTAAAAAGATTTATCAAAGAAACAGGTAGAGCGCCAGATGCATGTAGGTTTTCTGTGTAGGTGTTATGGGTACTTGACGTGTTACTTTTTTTTTTTTTTTTGAACAATGATCATGGGGTGGGTCGAACCCACCCAGGGGAGGGGATGCAACTTTTATCGTGGCAGTTGCCACTGGGCCAGGAGGCCAGGTGCACTTGACGTGTTACCTTTTGAGTGCAAAGAACAATTATTTTCATAGAAAGACTTTACG